GTAGAGATCAATAGTCAGCAACTAGGAACGTTTAAATCAAGCCCTTCATCAGAAACGCTCTTCACTACGTCAATCAGAAAAGTATTCTCTTCTCTACGTACACATGTGGCACGTTTGACGCAACACAAAATTATGGAGTTGAGTTGGGAAGTTCTCCCTCAACCACCATATTCTCCAGATATGGTACCATGAGATTACCATCTTTTTCGTTCGCTGCAACGCCATCTTAATGAGAAAACGTATGCAAATGTGGAAGGTGTTAAAGAGGACATCGATATGACTTTTGCTTCAAAGCCAAGTGATTTCTTTAATCAGAGCATTAACAACCCTGATTGTAAGATGGAAAAGCATCATCGATAAGAATGGAAACTATATCATTTAATAAATTTTTTGTTTTGATACACAAGTTGTTCGGGTTCTTTCATCCTAAAAATAAGCGGCATTAATTTTTTTGACGACCAAATAATTCAAACACGTTAAAATTGCTAAAGTAAAGATACACGTTGGTTAGTATTTTAAAATTGTAGGGGGCTACAGATCTCGTGATTTCTCCAATTGCGGAGGAAAAAAATTCTTGTAAAGTATTGTATTTTTTTACGATACATTGCAGGTTGAGATGCTAAAAAGACAACTAATTTTTCTAAAACTTTCACCTTTTGTTTTGAATCATTTCTACTTTTATCTCTCGCTTGCTTTCTAATTTCGAACGTACGTTGAATTAGCTTGTTTTTTATTTTCTCATTATCGTTATTAATTTGTATTCTTATTATTGTTGCAAGTTGATATTTAAAGCGAAATATGTGAAGCCTATTTTGGTCGTTTTAGAGATATACCTTTCTTACGTCCACTAATTCATATATTATTAATTGAGTTGAGCGTTTAATAAATCTAAAAAAACAACAAGAAGTAATTGTTGTTGGTTTTTTTTTTGCATATTCAGTTGTAAAACCAAAATCGGATTTTGTAAAATTATTTTAAAATACCAATGACTACAAATGTTTACATCTGGTGTCCATTTCTAACACTAAACATTTGTAACTGTATAGTCTCCCTTCTAAGACTACAAATGTTTACATCTGGTGTCCATTTCTAACACTAAACATTTGTAACTGTATAGTCTCCCTTCTAAGACTACAAATGTTTACATCTGGTGTCCATTTCTAACACTAAACATTTGTAACTGTATAGTCTCCCTTCTATTTTTTTTTCCAAGCAGAGATTTTGACTGTGGATTAGTTGTAAATGTATTTAAGCAAGGAGATGTGGACCTTTTAACAATTCAGTGATTTGCGTTTCTCTTTCAGAATGGTGTTATATATGGAATTCCTTCCAACCAAAAGACGCGGCCAGGCAACAATATCACTTGGTGTAAGTTTTACTGCATCTGTACATAATTAAGTAAATAATATATATGTGATTAGTTAATTAACGCAAGTTTTAGTCAGTACAAAATATTGCTTCTAAGATATTACAAAAATAGTTCTATCTGCGCATCTATCTAAAAATAACTAAGTATTTACAGTTAAAGACATTATAAGTCTATAAAAAAAGGGAACTGTATCTGTATAAAACCTAGGACTTGATTCCTCTAAGTTTGATAGAAACTCCAGGATACTACATGTTACTTGGAATACCACGCGTGATGCCAGTGTTACTTGAAATACCACGCGTCATTCCAGGTCAAATATCACCTCCAAACAAACAGTTAAGTGGTCGAAGTTCGATAAGTCTTCCAAATCTTCATCTCATTTCTCCTCATAAAACGCACTTCGATTATCAGTCTGTTAGCTTATATGTTTAGAGGTTATACAAGAACATTATTTTAACTAGAAGTTATGTACATTTATTCCAGATATTCTGGGGCGTCGGTTCACTTCTTGTAGTGTTAATCTCCATGACAGTGATGGAAACTACAAACTCGTGGCGAATTGTCTTACTTGTTGCTGTCATTCCTGTTGCCATCTTCCTCGTCTTATCGAAGGTAACTAAAATTAACTACGTATTTTTAAAACAGATGTAAGTATTGATTATATTTTCACTGTTTTATGGGTTAGTGTCAATTTTGTTTCTTTTTGGTACATTAATTTGAGTTTTTCAATAAACCAAATTGAAAGTGAAATAGGTTAGTATATTTGATCATTTGGAGTAAGTTTTGTTTGTTTATGGTAAACGAATGGGAGAAGTGTTAACCAGTGCTGATTGGCGACATAATATTTATCCCGTACCTCACAGTCCTTATGCGATCCCTTGTCTGTAACGGTGTTGTATTATTGGTTTAGAATTTTCGGGCAAAGCTTCAATTTGTGCATAGATGGAAGGCAGCTAATCAGCAGTACCCGCCGCCTACTCCTGTCTGACCAAATAGTGGAATGTGACCGTCACTCTTACAATGCACAAAGTGTAGGGCGATTTTTTTTATTTTTGCGGTGACAGGAGGCGAAACACGAACCCTCGGATCCACAATCCAATCACGCTAATCATCAGGCCACCCCCGAGCAATAACAAGATTCATCTAAAAGAAACATTCAAAGTCAATATAGCGTGTTAAAAATCGGATTTCGCTACAATTGGTGGGTACAGCATAGATAGCCCATTGTGTATAATAACAAACAAGAAATGGCATAGTGGTCAGGATGCTCGACCCGCAACCTGAGGGTTGCGGGTGCGAAACCCCCTCACCGAACATACTAGCCCTTTATAATGTGATGGTCAATCCCACTATTCGTTGGTAAAATAGTAGCCCAAGAGTTGGCTGTGGGTAGTGGTGACTAGCTGCCTTCCCTCTAGTCTTACACTGCTAAACTAGGGACGGCTAGCGCGGATGGTTCTCGTGTAGTTTTGCGCGAAATTCAAAAACAAACAAGAAATACAAATATTAAAGTTCTGATTATTGCATTAATTATCTCATTTGAATTAGAAGTAATGTTGTAACGTACTTATCGTAAAAAAAAATCTCTATTTTCTGTATGTTGTTATCATTTGTTTGCTTTAAATTTCGCGCAAAGCTACACGAGGGCTATCTGTACTAGCAGTCCCTAATTTAGCAGTGAAAGACTAGAGGGAAGGCAGCAAGTCATCACCGCCCACTGCCAACTCTTGGGCCACTCTTTTACCAACGAATAGTGGTATTGACCGTCTCATTATAACGTCCTCCACGGCTGAAAGGGGAGAGCATGTTTGGTGGGACGGGGATTCGAACACGCGACCCTCAGATTGCGAGTCGAGCGCCTTAACCAAGTTATGAAAGTTGTATGTAAGCACGTATTATTTACGTAATTTCAATATAAATCCCAATCAGTAGAAAAGAAAAATAAGTACATTTAATTAAAGATTTTCCAACTCAATACGACGTTTAACCTTTATAATAAAAAAAAAACATTAATGTGTCTGAAACATTTAATTTTGAAATCAGTTTACGAGACGTGTGTAAACGCTGAGAAATATTCGCTATTAGACGATTTCTATACTTTTAGTTGGACAAGAAAATAAGATAGATTTTAATTAATATAGTCGTTTTTTGTTGTTGTTTTTTTACTAGGGATATCCAGAAAGTGCACGTCACATGCTTGTCAGTGGTAAGGTCAAAGAAGCTGAAAAAGTCCTGTCAAACATGGCAGCAACAAACAAGAAGTCTCTTCCTGCTGGTAAGCTGGTGCCGTCCCCCGTAGGTTTGGAGAAAGGTTCCGTCATTAATCTTATTAAAGACCAAAAGCAACTGTTTATTATCTTGAGTTATGCCTGGTAAGAACACGTGTACAATAAAGGTTTTCTGCCATTTTGTTGTTGTGTTTGATTCCTGTACAATAATTGAAGTGTTTGTGTATAGTTTGAGAGAAATATAAGTTCGTTTCACCGTTTTAATTTTCAGCTAAACTTTTGCAAAGTATTAAAGAAGAAATACAAGTATTTCGTCACAGAAAAGTTCAGTCAGGATCACCATCAAAGAAACTTTGCTTAAAATTTTCATCTTTTCATTTGTATATTTAGTTTATGGATCAACTTCAGCTATCACGTTGAAAGTGGTTTTTCCTACCCCCCACATTTGTTATTGTTAATAGTTTCTAGTGCTTTTTTTTTACTTTATTATAAATGAATACACAGTTAGATTCGTGGTTCATATTTTCTAGTGTTTTTTTTTTACTAGTTTATAAATGAGTTCCCAGTTAGATTCGTGGTTCATATTTTCTAGTGTTTTTTTTTTTACTAGTTTATAAATGAGTTCCCAGTTAGATTCGTGGTTCATATTTTCTAGTGTTTTTTTTTACTAGTTTATAAATGAGTTCCCAGTTAGATTCGTGGTTCATATTTTCCAGTGCTATTTTCACTAGTTTATAAAT